AGAAACACTAGACAGCACTTCAACACTCTGCTTGGGGGCCATTTAAAAAAGACAAAATCACCAACAAGAAGCACAAACATTGGAAGAATGTGGTAATAAATAGACAGCAAAAAGAACACTAGTTTACAGGATGAGAGCTGAAACAAGAAGTAGAGCTTCACTTTGTTCACTCTCAATTGAGAACCTGCGCTTTGGCAACTCAAACTCTTCGATGCTCTGCACATGTGCATGTCTGCAGTAGCTGTGGAAACACCGAGTATTGATGTAGAGTTACAAGTAAATTTTAGCTAGTAGGCAAACTGGTGTCTTTGAATTCTGGTGTTGGCAAAGAATCTTGATAATACCATGGGCTGCCAGAGGAACAACAAATCTGTGTTGCTTCTTTAAGTACAACCAAAATGCTCCTTAGAATCAAGGGTGACAAGACTTCATCTCATGTACTTGGGACATGTTGTCATGAGAGACCCATCCCTGGAGAAGGATATCATAGTTGGTAAAGTGGACAGTTACAGAAAAAGAGGAAGGCCCTCCAACAGTTAGTCTGACACAGTGGCTGCAACAATGGGCTCAAACATAGGAATGATTATGAGGATGGCACAGGACCAGCCAGTGTTTAGTACATAGGATGGTAGGCGTTGGAACTGACGCAATGCACATAACAACAACAGGCAAATTCTCAAATATAGAATTCATGAATAATGAAGTTAGACTAGAATGGAGGTTTCAGAATAATCATGAACACTGGTGATATGCAGTGCAGTGCAGATTTAGTAGCAGCTTGCCACTCTGACATGCTCTGTGGGTAGAGCGTGGCTCCAATAGTAGATGTGGGAGGATGGGTTCCACTGTTCGCCTCCAAGCTGCGGCTGCTCCACCTCTCTGCCTGATCTCCCATGAAAGCCCATTTCCCCATGTGCTCCAGCCCCTGCTCTGAGCCTTTCACCTGTGCCTGCCTTCCTTGCTCCACCTCTGCTGGGCCACATCCTGCTCACCTCTTCAAGGTCAGTTCAGAGTTCACCCACCATTTGAGCCCACTGTTGCGGCCCCTGTGTCAGTCTACTTGTGGAGGGCCTAATGCTCTGAAACCGCTGCAGTACTTTCTGAACTGGGCTCTCTGGATGTTTCCTCATGGGCTCAACAAATTCCATATCCCACACACGTATGCTCTGCTATTTTTTTTCTTTTTTAAGTCCTATATCAACTTTAATTTTCTTTATCATTAAAAATTAAGACACGTTTTCCTCAATCAGATATTTTTATCCTTAATACAAAATACATTATTATAAGCCTTATGCTTATATCTGAATGTTTCTTCAGTCATCACTTTCACTTCCTGAGTCACTCAGCTGCAAATCATTTCTTAAAATATTCATCATAAGTCCACTGATGTTATGAAATCTGTTATGACTGGCATTTAGATCAGGAATGCTGCACTGTGGCCTGGCAGCCAACGGATGATGTCCTGAGGTATATAGTTCCCTGGATCAGAAGACGATCTGTACTCTTCATTTTCTGAGTCACTAGAACTATCCTCACTACTTGAAGATGATGAACTTTTAGAATCTGATGAACTATCACAGCTACTCATCTGGTCCATAAAACTAGCTTCTGTCTTCAGTTCTCTTTCAACATCATCCATTGGAGATGCTGGGGACATCTTATCTTTGGGTGGAGAATGTTTTACAGTATTAGGAGTCCTAGGTGAATTCCAGATTTATTGCTGCTGTTGCTCGATATGAGACTGAATTTTACTACTTCCTTCAACTCTTGTTTTCTTTACAGTGATGTTTTTCTAGTCAGCATTCTCCAGTATCATGGTTAATAATCAATATGCATTCTTTTAAGTAAGGGTTCTTTGAACCCTTGAAAACAGTTACTGGGAGAGTGGAACCCTCTATATTTGGGAGAGGTATTGTCACCTGTTCACCTTTGCCAATCTCAAGGTCCCCTTCACAAGAAGTGTCAATAGAAGCAGGTTTGAAGTCATAGCACATAGTGTGGAAGGCACAGCGCGGATGCTTCTTAAAACTCTCGCCCAATCTGAGAACCCACTGGCGATTGCCAAAGTGCAAGTGTCTTGCCGCTCCATTCATTGTTACCCTCGGGCTCCGACTAGGCATCCATTATTGACACTCATGACCATCTGCCACTGCTCTGCTATTTTTCAAGCCTATGGATATGTTATTGTTTATTCATAATATTAATTCATAGACTTCCCGAAGCTAAGGCAAAGGTTAGGAAGCAATTAAGCACAGCAATTATGAGTAAAAAAAATGGGAGCTAGAACAGGTAGTTTTGGAGACTGACTCTGTAACACACTAACTTTCAAATTGGGCAAGTTAATTAACCTGTGTCTCACTTTTTTCATCTGTAAAATGGAGATATTAAGAGTAATTACACCTCAGGATCATGGTGAGGATTCAATGAATTTATCTTGGAAGTACTCCTTAATGCTTAGGTCTTATATCTGTTGGCATTATCATTTTTCCAATCGATAGACTCTAAAACATTATTCATTATGAGGAGTCCACATAGTTTTTTGGAGTTAGAATGGGATCAGGCTCCAAGCTGGGTATCAAGGTATTCTTCGTTCTTGCCTCTCTTGTGGCATTTAATCACATATTTTTTTCAACTTTAGTGACCTTCAGAAGGAGGCGCTAATAGTTATCTTCTTTGGATCTTCAGAGTCACTGTTGTTGGCAGAAGAATAAATAACGCTTACTGGATAAACAATTGTGGGACAGAACAGAAGGTCCATTGCTTTACTTTCAGAAATTGTATAGGAGGAAATGGAGAGACCACTATTTAAGACTCCCGAACTTGTTTCTTTGTTTTTAATCCAAAGCCCTTTCTCAATGCAAACTGAAGTACACTTCCTGTTATAAAGTGGGAGAGCAGAGGCCTGGTTAAAATGTGTTTCTGATATATCATTTGTAAAAGATCTGATTATTATTATCTGTCAAGAATTCTTTTAGGAAAGAAACTCTAGTCTGGGCTGGAATCTTTTTCAATTTTCTGTAGGGATATACTCTAGAGCTTTAGAAGAGAGTGAGATAGATGTTTACTCAGACCATGAGAACAGCCACTTCTAGGCCCAGATTAGCACCAGATAACAGGAAGTTTGGCACAGAAGTTAGGTTTTGGCAGTTTTAATTTGTATAAAATATTTCAATATATAGTCAACTCTAGATTTAGTTGCATTAGGGCTGTTATTGTTTTTAAGTGTTGTTGAGTCAGTTCTGTCCCAAAGTGACCCCATACAGGTTTCTGAGCAGCAGTTGGTAGGTTTGAACTGCTGATCTTGCAGTTAGCAATCCAGTGTTTATCCTACAGCAACATACCAGGACTAGACACAGCACATAGAAGACACTGAAGTTAATTTATATTTGGGTTGGGAAGGCATGAACAGACACTGAGAGACACTGTAGTCATGCCTCCTGGATTCTCCTCACCGCAGGACCTGCTCAAAGGATCTCCTGCCCCCAACAAGCTGGGCAGCAATGTGAAGAGGTCAAGAATTACAAACAATATCCCACCAAGCAGGCAACCACTTGTTAGACTGTAAGCCTCCTGAGGATAAGAACTTGGTCCTCCCTGTTCACAGTTAAAGTTTTACCACCTTGCTCAATAAACTCGCTAAATATTTGTAAATGAATGAGAGTGAGAAAGAGAAAAAGAAAGTAAATATTCTGAGAACTATAGAAGATCACTGACAAACAATCACAAACGAGCAAGCATGCTTTTCCTCTGAAGTGACAGTCACCATCAGTGGCTTTGCTGGAACATGGGGGAGGCCAGATAGAATGCAGAACTCTATAGAATTATTTGTCCTGCAGAACTCCATCAAGACTATCCAAGACTTTTTGTATGGATAGACAAACATTTTCTCTCAAGAGTTAAACAGTGAATATTTGAGGCTTTGCAATCCATAGATCTCTGTTCCAATGACTCAACTGCTATTTTAGCATGAAACTAGTCATGTGCTATACAGAAATGAATGGGTGTGGCTGTGTTCCAATAAATCTTTATTTACAAAAACAATTTGAGGGCCAGATTTGGCCTACCAACCAGAGTTTGCTGACCCTGCTCTGTGTACCCTTCTGTTCTCAGAAGAGGACACAGGGCACAGAGAAATCACGTGGCCTCTCAAAGGCACATGACTAGATACAGTGTGAGGTGAAGCTGGAATTCAAATTTATTGATTCCAAGTCAAAAATGTGGGCTTTCCTGTCCAAGGAAAATCCATCTCTTCATTGATTCAAATGCTTACTGAGTGCTTGTATGTTTCAGGTATGGTGCTAAACACTGAGGATACCTGAATGAACCAAGGAACCACAACTCTGCTCTTAGAGGGGGTCCCAGCAAAGGTAGAGATCATTAAAAGTTAGTATAAGAAGTGCTGCAATGGGAAAAGTAAAGGCAGTAGCAGAGTGCAAAGGCACCACCGCAAGGCAAGAAACGTTTCCTCAGCCTTATATCCGTGAAGTGTCTGTGAGAAAGCCCAAGCCCTTACCAGCACCTCTGACACACTAGTTCTTACAAATGTTATCACCTCTTCTCAATTTCTTCCATTTAATAGTCCTCTGAAACCATTTGAAGAGCCCTGGTGGCATGGTGGTTAAGTGTTTGGCTGCTAACCAAAAGGTCAATGGTTTGAACCAACCAACTGCTGTACAGGAGAAAGATGTGATAGTCAGCCTCTGTAAAAGATTTATAGGCTTGGAAACCCTGTGAGGTAGTCTACTCTGTCTAATAGGGCCACTCTGAGTCCACTGGGTTTGATTGGATGGGTTTCTGAAACAATTAATCCTAAGTCTGCAGCGGATCCTCCAAATATGTTGTTGTTGTTAAGTGTTACCAAGTTGGTTCTGAACCATAACAATCCTATATAGGGTTCCCAAGGAGTAGTTAGTTGATGGATTTGAACTGCTGTCCTTGAGGTAAGCAGCTGAAATATACATCTTAGTTCATTAATAGGAGCATGGATTATCTCTACTGACCTTTGATCTTTCCAGTTAAGAAGTTCTTTGAGTTCACAATCTGATCCATGTCTGAACGGATAGTTCCTTCCAGGCCCTTTGTCAGACTTCGGCATTCCTCCTTCAAGGCATTTAATCCTTCTGAGACTTGAAGCTGAACCAGGTTGTAGGCCTCCTCCAGGAGCTGCAATATAAATCAGGCTCTGTTATGTAAAAATGCCTCACAAAGTCAAGTCGAGGTATGAGGCTTCATCACAGACTACCATAATATAAACAACACTGCACACACATTCTAATGTTGTCTTTCAAACTTCAAGTCTGTTTGGATTAGTCCTCATGTAAGTGAGAATGAACAGGCTCAATATAGACAGTTTTCCACCCAGGAAGGAACTATTAAAAAACAAAATAAAAACAAACAACAACAAAAAAGCTGCCTTATAAAGAGAAGTGAATGTTCACTTGAGGAAAACAGTTGCAGGACAAAATAATCACTTACTCCGAACCAGGCCCTCTTCCTGTCATTCTTCTTCCCCTTCATTTTAGGCAGAAGGTCTGTCTGGAGGGTTGGCAGGAGCTCCTCCATCACTAGGTTACTCAGGATCTGCAGAGTGGAAGAGAGCCCCCACAGTGGCAAGTCAGTGGGGTCAGACTGTATTAGAACATCTGGCCAAAGGTGCCGTGGCTGTCACTATCCGAGGTTATCCATGGTTGTTGAGGTTAAATGGAGTTTGTTAGGTTGGAAATCTGAGGTCACAGGCATCTTGGCTAAGACAATCTTAATTGCTCTTAAACATTCACCAGGAACAATAATGCCTGCTTATTATACATGTTTCCCATCAGAAAAAGAAATCAAATTCCTCACCTTCAAACTTTGCATATTCAAACTAGAAGAACCTACTACATTGTGGACAATTATGGGTAAGGACATCCTTAGCAAAATTGGGAAGTAGGTCAGGCTTGGCTTCAGTGGCTGACTCTTAGTTTCCCTAGGAATCTAAGAGTCTTCATGATCTTTGTCCCTACTGTTTCCTGAGAACCTCCTCCCACCTTCTATGAAGTTTGGAAAAAGAAAGGAGTAATTGTGTGGGCTGAGCAGAATATAGGATATCTCAAGTTGTACTAATCTTAGAAGAAATGCAATCAGAACACTCCTTGGAAAGCAAGGGTAGTGAGACTTCATCTTGCTCACTTTGGACATGTCATCAAAAGAAACCAATCATCAGAGAAGACCGCCATTTTTGGTAAATGAAGGGTCAGTGACAAAGAAGGAAACCTTCAAGGAGATGGATTGACACAAAATGGCTACAACAGTGAGCTATAACATGTGAAAAGTTATGGAGATGGTACAGGGTTGGGCAATGTTTCCTTCTGTTATATACAAGGCCGCCAAGAGTCAGAGGTGACCCAATAGCAACCAACAACAGTAACACGTTTTCCATTGTTTTAAAAAATTGTTTCCAATTCTTTTCACTCAAATTTTGTTGGTATCAATGGAAATGATTTAAAAAAAAAAAAAAAAAAATCCAAGCAGTATTGTACGCATCCACTCATGGGCACCAGGCAGTGCTGGCCCCTTCTGACTCCCACTGACCTCCAATTGGAGCAGCCTTGCTATTCAAATTCACTTTCATTGTGAGCCTTTTGGGGCTCACTGCTCAGCTTTCAATCTTAGGCTGCAAACTAAGATTTATAAGAAGGCACGAGTAGTTTTAGAGATGGAGGCAGGCAGAAAAGTGGAGAATTAACATGATACGACTGTTCTGCGAATTTAAGGAACGTTTTTCTAAAATAATTGATTGCTTCCCTCTCACTTCTTGTAAAAATTCAAGTTAAGCTTTCAGAATTAAAAACAATTCTCTCTGTGGTCACTAGTCAATCTCACACTTGTGGATACACTGATGAAGTCACTAGATGTTGCCTTTAACCCGGCTCAGTGACAGCAGGGTGTAACGCTACAGCTGAATGAAACAGGAACACTCCCAGGGTGGAGGTGGACCAGCTGCCCAGTCCCAGTGAGCCTCTGGGTCCCTGAGAGAGAAGGCTGCTCGGGTCAATGCAGTCAAGTGTGGCTCCTGCCATCTGCAATTCGGGACTATGTGGTGTGACAAAGATTATAATGGGGACAAGACTGTCATTGCTGTTGTGTGCTGTCCAGTTAGTTCTGACTCATAGCAACCTTATATAGGGCTTCCAAGAGTAGCTGGTTGTTTGAACTGTCAACTTTTGGGGGAGCAGTTCTGTACTTTTCTTATGGCTCACACCAGGACTGCTACCAGTACTGGCAATTCATAGGTTGTTGTTATTGTTGTTAAGTGCCATCAAGTCGGTTCCGACTCATAGCAACCCTGTATAGGGTTTCCAGGAGCGGCTAGTGAGCTTGAACAACCAACCTTGCAGGTGAAACCAAAAGGTATGTTTTTCTCTTTTTTGGAGCCAGTCTCTAGGAATAGTCAAGAGCTAGATAACTATTTTCTGATGACTTTTAGAGGAACTTGTCACACAAGCTTCATGCCATTCAGCAGGTCCAAAAATTAGATTCAAGTAGGTCATTAATGGAGACCTGGTGTGGCATTGTGAGATAAGCGTTGGACCACAAGGTCAGTTTGAACCGCCAGGTTAGTGGTTCAAACTCACCAGCCACTCCTCGGAAACCCTATACTTGGTCTCTTATGTTTCGGAACTAACTTGACAGCACGTAAAAACACCAGGTCATTAATAATCCAGGGATCTTCATTCCGATCTGTGGAATAAATGCTTTAGTTGGAATGCATCTGCCCGAGAACCACCGACATGACATGTGGCCTGGGGAGAGTGAGTGAAAGGGTAAGGAGACTTAAATCAGAACTGGAATCAATGAAAAACACGATTTTTATCTGAAAACTGTAAAACTCAAGAATCATAATTTGTTGTTGTTTAAGTGCCATCAAGTTGGTTCTGACTTATAGTGACCCTGTATTGGGTTTCCAAGGTTGTTCATCTTTGTGGGAGCAAACGCCTTAACCTACTCCCTCCTGCAGGGTGGTTCACAGTCCAGTGCTCATCCAACAGAGTCACCGTGTTCCCACAATCATAACTGTCCTAATTCATTGCTTTGCAGAGATTGGTTTGCACTTCAGCATACATGTGAGAGGGATTTGAAAAAATGAAAATGCTAATATAAAGGCAAAAAAAAAAAAAACCCACAAAAAAGTTTCCATTATGGTGAGCTTATAGTTTTCTTTCATTCAGCCTTTCTCAGACAATGTTCCAAGAAATTTGATTCTATTTTAGCACTTAGGGAACTAAAAAGGAAACATGTCTGGAAAGGAAAAAAAGGGGGGTGGGTGGGTAGTGGTAGGAGTGGGTTGTAAGCAGAACCTCTGGGTGCTAAAGCCCAATTAGGCTGCATCCCAAAACTGTCAGCTTCCTCTCACCTTCAGCTCTACCAACCCTGACCCTAAGCTTCCTCTTACCTGCCTGCTCTGAAGTCCCCCATCTTGGTCACCTTTCCACAATTGTTGTTGTTGTTAGGTGTCATCGAATTGGTACCAACTCATAACGACCCTATGCACAGCAGAACAAAACACTGCTCAGTCAGGGGCCAACCTCACTACTGTTGCCACGCTTGAGTCCATCGATGCTGCCACTTGGCCAATCCATCTCTTTGGGGGTCCTTCCTCTATTTCTCTGACCCTCCACCTTACCAAACATGATATACTTCTCCAGTGACTGGTCCCTCCTGACAATATGTCTGAAGTATGAGAGACAAAGTCTAGCCATCTTGGCCTCCAAGGAGCACTGTGACTGAACTTCTTCCAAAACGGATCTATTGGTTCTTTTGGCAGCCCATGGCACTTTCAATATTCTCCTCCAACACGATAGCTCAAAAGCATCACTTCTTCTACGGTCTTCCTTATTCACTCATATTTACTCATATCCAGCTTTTGCATGCATATGAGGGTATTGAAAATACCAAGGCTTGGGTCAGGTGCACCTTAGTCCTCAAGCTGACATCTTTGCTCTTCAACACTTTAAGAAGGTCTTCTTTCCACAGTAGAGCCCCAAATCTAATGAAGGGGCACCTTAACCTCCTCCCCTCAAAATCGGATCTACTTAGTATCACTTTTGCTTTAAAAAAAAAAAAAACACACAAAAGGAGATGGGCTTCAATTTAACAGCTGGGACATGGTGACTTTTAAATTTTACCACACATACAAGTATCCCAACATATCACCAGGTTGATTGAAACCAACATACCCAATTTCACCCCTTGCAGGCCTTGCTACATAACTGCCTGTCTGATATTGAAGCTGTTTCCCCAGGCTACTGGACGTGGGGGTGGGGTGGGGGTGGGGGCGCAATCCTTTGTGTTGCTGAGTGGTCATGGGGGAAAGAATTCATTTAAAGGGACCATAGTCAAAGACATTTGACAAAAGTTAACTCCAAAAGGTGTAGACAAGACCTAAAAAAAATTGTACATAGTTTTCTTATCTAGAGGCCATTCTGTTTTGTGGGAATGCTGAGTTGTTCTCATGGCCCATCTGGCTAATTTAAAGATAAGTCATAAATATTCCAGATAAGTGCACAGTACTGTCCTTCATAATCTCATTTGATATATTTATATTGACAAGTAGAAAATGCAATGCTATTTTTTACTGGTATGCAAATATTTTCACCTTAATAGTCTTTGCACAAGTTATTCTAAGATATTTGCTATTCCTGGAAACTTGCCTACAATAACCATTGTCATGAGGGCATGCCATACTTGCTGTGTGAGTCAGTACTATGAAGATAATAATGTTACAAGACCAAAGTCTTTTGAACTCAGGCCCGGAGGGATACAGGGCTAGGAGAGCATTATTAGTTTTTAGCAGATGTGAAGAAAAAATGCAAATACACCCAGGGCTTTAAACAAAAGATGCCATATTCTCAAACTCAGCAGTGTGCTGCCACTTTCTGTAACTAGTTGGTGGCTTCTTTAGACCCCTGACCTCTTTCTTCTGTGAATGAGCCTTAGGATAACCTGCTTTCTTATTCAGCAATCTTATTAGAGATTATGGGGAGCCTTTAACCTTGCCAGGCCCTACACAGGAATGCTTTGGACGCCATTTCCTTATACCAGCTTCTCCAAGGATAGCCTGACTTGTCTGCCGCAGGATTTGTGATTTCAGCTAAGTCTTTTAGCCAATCTGAGCATCTTTCTCTCATCTGGAGGGTGTTGGATAAATAATACTAAAATTTCTCCTAGCAGCCACATTTTATGAGTCTGTGATTTCACCAGATACTCAAATTCCTGGGGGAACTAAACTTCTTACTGGATCATTTAATAACTCCAGCTTTTACTGATTTCTCTTTCTATGTTTTTCATTTATTTGTGGTTTGATTTCTTTTTGGCCACATAGGGTATTTTTGGCACTACAAAATTAACACCATACTATGGAGTCCTGGTGTGGTACTGTGTGTGGGTTGAACCACAAGACTGACAGTTCAAATTCACCAGTCACTCCTTGGAAACACTATACAGTGTTGGTACGAGCCGGAACCAACTTGACAGCACTTAACAACAACAACAATATGACTAGTTCAAGAGTACAGTGGCTCTGTGATACATACTGAATGATTATGGGAAGGAAACTTGTTGCTGTTAAGTATGTATATATATGTGCATATATGTTTTATGTATATATATATATATATAGATGTGTATATGTATGTATATATTCTTTGCTAGCACCATGATTCAAATGCATCAATTTAAGTGTGAAAGAGGAAATTGGTACATGAATACCTTTCCTGCAAACACCACTATGAACGTGGTTGTACATACAGCAGGCAAAATGATGAAAATGAGATATTATCAAACATCTTACGGCAATGAGTTGCTGGGTGTCGGGGCTCAGGCCATAGTCTCAAGAGACACCATGGCCAACTGGCACAACGTAGTACACAAAGATAATGTTCTACAACCTACTTTGGTGAATTGCTGTTGCTGTTAAGTGCTGTTGAGTCAGTTCCGACCCATAGTGACCCTATATAGGGTTTCCAAGGAGCTGGTGAGCTTGAACAGCTGACCTTGTGGTTCAAGCTGACTTTGCAGTCCAGTGCATTAACACAAAGAGCCACACTAGGACTCCACTTTGGTGAGTAGTGTCTGGGATATTAAAAGCTCCTGAGAGGCTATCTGAGGTGCAGTTATTGGTCTTTCCATGTGCAGAAGAAAGCAGAGTGATGAGAACTAAAGAGGCATTAGTTCAATGGACTAATTGAACATGTGAACATCAGTCTCCACAACCCTGAGACCAGTAGAACTAGATGGTGCCCAGCTACCACTACCAACTGTCCTGAATGGGATCACATTAAAAGATCCTGGATAGAGCAACATAATGTGTGGGAAAAAATCTAAAAATGATTTTAAAAACAAACAAACAGGGCTTACTGGTCAGAAAGAGACTGGAGGAACCTGACACTGGTTCCTTGACCACCCTTCAGGTCTGGAAAGGAACAACCCTCTTTCAGCCAAACAGTAGATAGGTATAGAGGAGGAACACCACCACTAGTAAGGTATGCTCACTATGAATGATGGAACAGTCAATCATTCTAAATCAAAGGGGGAACATGTACCTAAGGACAATGGCAAGAAGGGATGGGAAAGTGGGTGGAAGGGAAGTAAGAGCCACAGGGAGGAAGCAGATGACTGCTGTTGGGGGGGGGAGGGGAAGGGGTTGCAATCATTGAGATGAAACAAAGTGTATTGTTTGTTGAGTGTGAAACTGATGATCCTGTCTGTAAACATTCACTCAATTCACACAAAAGTAAAAAAAAGAAAAAGAAATCAATGGCATACTGCATTAGCCAAATCTGCTGACATCTTTAAAGCAAAGATGTCACTTTTAGGACTAAGGTGTGCCTGACACAAGCCATGGTATTTTCAATCACCTCACATCAATTTGAAACTTGGAAAATGAATAAGGAAGATCACAGAAGAACTGATGCATTTGGATCATAGTGTTGGCAAAGAATATTGAAAGTACCATGGACTGCCAGAAGAACAAATTAATCTATCTTGGAATGAGTATGGCCAGAATGCTTTTTAGAAGCCAGGATGGCAAGACTGTCTCTTGTTCTTTGAACATGCTGTCAGGAGAGAACAGTCCCTGGAAAAGGACATCATGCTCAGTAAAGGTTAACAAAAAAGAGGAAGACTCCCGACGAGATGGACTGGCACAGTGACAGCAACAACGGACTCAAACATAACTGTGAGGAATGAGCAGGACCAGGCAGGGTTTCATTCTGTTGTGTATAAAGGTGCTGTGAGTCAGAACTGACTCAGGGCATCTAACAACAACAACAAAGATTTGCCAAGTGACTGTGAATCCTATAGATACCAATATGGATTAATGTGATGGTCTTCCCTCATCCTGATGATTTGCCTCTGTCTTTATCTTGTCTTTGTCCTGCTTGAGACTTAATAAAGGAATCTCTAAAATAATAAATAAAAAGGAAGTGGTGCCCTATGTACTTAAGATAAGCACTGGACTGTGAACCACAAGGTACACAGTTCAAACCCACCAGTGTCTCCATGGCAGAGAGAGAGGCATTTTGCTCCCGGAAAGATGGACAGCTGTGGAAACCCAAAGTAACTATGACTCGGAACCGACTCGAAGGCACTTAACAACAACAACAGATGACTACTTCAGCCTCTCAGAGGTACAAATGGTTACCACATGTGGCTGCTAACTGAAAGGTTAAACGCTTGAGTCTACAAAGGGGGACCTTGGAAGAAACGCCTAAAGATCAGCCATTGAAAATCCTGTGGAGCACGGTTTTCTATGACACGCATGGGCTCATCCTGGTAAGTGGCTTCCTGCTATGACTTCTGCACATGAATGCTTTATGATACCCAGATATGTAGGTCATGGGTTGTTTAATGCTACTGAATTAATTTCAACTCATAACAACCTCAAGTGACAGAGTAGAACTACCCCACATTGTTTACTAGGCTGTACTCCTTACAGTCCCTCAGGAACCCTGGTGGTACAGTGGTGAAAGCACCTGCCTACTAACCAAAAGGTCAGTTGTTTGAACCCACCAGCTCCTCCGAGGGAGAAAGATTTGCTTCCATAAAGATTTGCAAACTTGGAAACCCTCTAGGGGCGTTCCACTCTGTATGACAGGGTTGCTATGAGGCACAGTCGATTAGAAGAGAGTGGGATTCTGTTTGTCTTCTTCTTTTTAATCCTTACGAAGCAGATTGCCAGGTGTTTCTCCCAGGGAGCTGCTGAGTGTGTGCAAGCCAGTAATCTCTGGGTCAGCAGCTGAGCACTTAACCATCTGTGCCACCAGAGTGTTTTCATTATATATAGACACACACACATTTACATATATGCAGACATATACACAATGTTGCCTTGTCCTCTAGATGTACGTTTTGCCTCTCTACAAAGGCAGGGGAAGTGACACTTTGTTTTCTTGTATCTTAGAGCACTTAACACACATCAGCCTAAAACAAAAAGCAGGAAACCGACAAAAGAAAACACAACATACTAAATCAAACCCACTAACCTGGTATGGTGCTGTGGGGTTAATGTGCTGGACTGCAAGGTTGGTTTGAACCAAAAGGTGAGCAGTTCAAGCTCACCAGCTGCTTCTCAGAAACCCTATACAGGTTGCTATGAGTAGAAACCAACTCGACAACGCTTAACAACAACTAAAACAAGATATACTAAGTACCTGATTCTAACAGCATTGTGAAAGAATGTGAGAAGACATGAGATTTCAGGGGAAAGAAAAAAACGCAAGCGGGTGGAATAGCTGAATGCAAGAAGCTAGGTAAATGTAAATGTGTAGCCCAGTATATTCGCAAGGATGGTATTGATCTTTCACTGCAACAAGAGTCAGAAGCCATCATTCCGCTTAGCACTGGGCCCTGGGACTCCAAACTGCACAGGGCATGGCCATCTGTCCTGTCCAACTCTAGGGTCATTGTACTCAGCATAGGACTTGGTGTCTAGTATGTTCTCAATAAACTGCTAAATTAATAAAACTGAAAAACTCACTTAAATTCAGTTTTATCATTTACAAAATGGAAATAATAACAACTGCTCTACATAGCCCATAACATTTGCTAGAAAAAGAGACAAAATTAGCATTTGAACATAATAAAGTATCACACAAAGCATTTAGCATTGAAATACGTTTGCTTACACGACAGGCCAGTCAGCGTCATAGGCTTCAGCTGCCCCTTTTACCAGATCATAAGAATTGGTTAAAAGAATAAGCCTCAGATTGGCAAATAAATGAGTTTAGAATCGACCAAGAAAAGAAAAACAAGAAGCAGCAAAAGATTTTGTATCATATGGCAAACAATAAAAAAATAGCCCCATCATCATGAAAAATGTTTTCAGCTTTAAATGTTTAACAACCAAAGAAAGGCGAGGTGTTGTATGGCATCATCAAAATGTTGTTCCCTAATAACAAATTTCACAGACCCCAAAAGAGGGACTCTGGAAGATGTGGGGGAAATAACAGAGCAGCATCTAGAACACTGTGCCTTTAATGAAATACTGTCCATATCTAGCCTCTCTCCTGGGCTGAATTGGTCATGTGCTTGGTATCAATATGGCAGTGGGGGCACACCATGAAACACAGTTTACTTCAGCGATTTGTAACACTCTCTGAGGTCACTGTGACCAAGGTGCTGTGACACATGATTGCCATTCATCAGGATCCTGGGAAATTAGAATGGACAATGTTGATTTTGTTGTTGTTAAGTGTTATCGAGTCAGTTCTATTTCAGAGCAACCCTCTATAGCGTTTCCAAACTTTGCAGGAGCAGAAAGCCTCCTCTTTCTCCAGAAGCAGCTGGTGGATTCGAACTGGTGACACTGCAGTTTGTAGTCTAGTACTTATCCTACAGAGCCACTGCACTTGCAGAATGGATTATAGAGCATAGAAAACTATAAAAGGTAAATGAAATGTCTAGGAAACTGCACCATGCTTTTTAAATTTGTTTCCATTCATAACTTCATTTATACAGCATTTGATAAAGACTTCCAACTGTGTGCTAAATATTTTCCCAACAACATTTAATTTAATTCTTAGAACCCTGAAAGGTAAACATAATTACTCTCATTTTCCCCTCAGAGGAGGAACCTGAGATAGGTGGAATAACTTCTAGGATTTAAATCTAAGTCTGCTGATCCCTAAAGCCCTAATGCACTCGGCCCCACACCCACATGCTCACATTGCACTTCCGCTGGAAGCATGGAATTATTGGAAAAGACTATCCTATTTAAAAAAAAAAACCTTCACGCACTTCTCCCCATTATAGTTTAAGTGTTTCTGGCTGTCTTATTTCGTGCCTGGTCTGGAGATTTAGAGTGGGTAACCAAATGTTTCTAGAGGATAAGAAAAAAAGTGGCCTTTGATATTCCATCCTCCATTGTGGCAACTTTTTCAATTTGACTGTTGAAATGACTCATCTCCTGCCACCAGGATAAATAGAAGACCCCCAGCCTGAGCCCTTCTTACCTGGACTTCATTCCCAGTGATCATTTCCCATGAGCCATAATGACCTTTCTCCTGCCGGAAGAATTGCACAGCTTCTAAGAAGGCATGGGCTTCATAAGTCGTCTGCTTCATGTAATCTAAAGGAAAGTGACAAGGACATGAAGCAAAAAAAAAAAACTTTATTTTACATGTATACATGGTTTTTCTAATGTAGTGGTTCAGAGACCTAGCATTGCTAGAATATTACAAGGGATAAAATTATGAGATACAAAAAATTTTAAGCAAGTACTGAATTCAAAGTTCTTTTCCAGCTGTGCATCACATTACTAAGGAGCCCTGATAGCACAGTGGTTTAGTGTTCAACTGCTAACCAAAAGGTCACTAGTTCGAACCTACTAGCTGCTTGGGGACAGAAAAATGTGGCAGTCTGCTTCCATAAAGATTATGGAAACACTATGGTGTCGTTCTATTTTGACTTATAGGGTCTCTATGAATCAGAATAGACTCAATGGCAATGGATTTGGAGGGGAGGGGTTTATCAAGTGACTTAAGACTCCTGGTGTGGCACTGTAGGATCAGCACTGGACTGTGAACCACAAGGTCAGCAGTTCAAACCTACCAGCTGCTCTTCAGAAACCCTATACAGGGTCACTATGAGTCAGACCCGACTTGACCACAAGCAGTTGACAACAGCATGACTAACTAGTTACTAGGTATGCTAATTAGGATGAGAAACAGGTCCATCCATTTTTTGTTTCTTATAAATATCAACCCCTAGGCACAAAGGGTTCCCAACCATAAGCCCACACTCATCAAGGTATCATTGCTATTGTCCTGTGTATCAAGATCATCCCTTGCCAGTTTCCCAAACAAAACTCCCATTTCTTTGTGGCCTGATATCATCTCTCCTTCAAAAAGACATCATCATAATATATTAATTTTTCTTAACAGGGAAATTACTGACAGAAATAGCAAACATATATTTTAGGCTGAAGGAACCCTGGTGACACAATAGTTAAGCGCTTGGCTGCTAAATGAAAGGTGAGTGGTTCAAAACCACCAACAGCTCCATAGGAGAAAAGACTTGGTGATCTGCTCCCATAAAGGTTACATAAAGAAATCTTATGGGCCAGTTCTACTGTGCTCTATAGGGTTTATGTGAGTTAGAATTGACTCAGTGGCATATAACAACAACACAGTACGATACTGTTCTGAGCACGAAACCACACAATAATTTCTGAAGTATTACAATCATCTCTAATTTATAGACTCCAAGGCCAAAGCACAGAAAGATGAGTGAATTGCCTGAAGTCATACAGCTTGGAAGTCATAAACTAGGCTGGGTAGTCAGTCAGGCTAACTTCAGAGCCTGTTACTTGAACCACCACACTATAGTCTCACTACCAGGATTATGGGTGCACCTTTCCAAACACATTGGATTTTAAAAGGTGTCATGTGGGAGAGATGACATTTTATCACAAGGGAGTAATATACTGTTTGCAGGGTTTTAGGCACAGTTGGGGAGCTGAAGCTGAGTGGCCTTCCCCAAATTTCACAAATCATACCATACATACAATGCGTACAGATTTCTAACACAGAGAAATAGCTCTAAGAGCACCCAGTGACCACAGCACGACAGAACACTTAGAGGAGAGGGAGGAACTTGAGAAATTATCTAATCTAACAATAAAGAAAGAAAACCTTAGAAAGGGAAATCACATGGATAGTGAGTGTAAGGGTGGAATTGCCAGCCCCTCCTCTCTCCCTAAAGGACACAAAGTTGGATTACCAATAGCATACGATGGTATGTTGTGGGGTACTGCAGAGTCCTATCCAATTCATAGTGACACTCTGTGAAAAGTAGGACTGCCTCAGGGTTTCTCCTTTATAGGAGAAAATAACCAGGTCTTTTCTCCTGTGGAGTGGCTGGTGGAATCAAATCGCCAACCTCTCCGTTAGCAGCCAAACACTTACCCATCCCACCATCTGGGCTCCTTATGATCTGCATACATTGGACAATAGTAGAGTGGTACATTGAAGGCAGCTGATTCTCTGGCAGCACAGTCAAGGACTGAAAGGTTGATATGGTAAATGGAGCAGAACTCTTTTTAAAAGAGGCTCAATCTGCTATGAAGAGCTGTCTTTAGCTGTCACAAAGTCGTCCCTGATTCTTAGTCAGCTCGTGCACAATGGAATGAAATGTTATCCAGTTCTGTGCCATCTTCATGATGAACTGCAGATAGATTGGTTGTGATTCTTAGGGGTTTATTTCCCTGGCTGATTCTCAGAAGTAGATTACCAGGCTTTTCTTCCTATTCTGCTCAGAGTCTAGAAGTGCCACTGAAATCTGTTCACTATCATAGCAAAACATGCCAACTTCCACTGGTAGATGGGTGGTGGTCACACATGAAGCATACTGAACAGGAATAAAAATCTGTGTCTGCAGCATTGTTGTTGTTGTTGTTAAGTGCCGTCGAGTCAATTCCGACCCACAGTGACTCTGTATAGGGTTTCCAAGGAGCAGCTGGTGAGCTTGAACCACTGACTTTGCAGTTCAAATGACTTTGCAGTCTGACGCATTAACCCACAGCACCACAGCAGGACAAGAATTCTAATCATTCAGTCACAAATACCCTGCTATGTGGCACTAAAGGATCAGCATTGCACTGCTAACCACAAGGTCCACAGATGAAATCCACCAGCCACTCAAAGGGAGAAGTAAGGGGCTTTCTGCTTCTGTAAAACATTTGTTGTTGTTAAGTGCTGTTGAGTCAGTTCCAACTCATAAAGATCCTGTATAGGGTTTCCGAGAAGCAGTTGGTGAGTATGAACTACTGACCTCAAGGTTAGCAGTCCAGTGCTTATCCTACAGCACCATACCAGGAGTCCTGTAAACATTTATAGACTTGTAAACTTTACAGCCTTGCAAACTCCATATAGGGTCACTATGAGTCAGAATCAACTTGACAGCAATGGGTTTATAAACAGTTGTTGTTGTTGCTGTTGTTGTTAGGTGCCATTGAGTCGGAACCGACCCATAGCAACCTTATGCACAGCAGAATGAAACACTGCCTGATCCTGGGCCAGCCTCACTACTGTTGCCACGCTTGAGTCCATCGATGCTGCCACTTGGCCAATCCAACTCATTGGGGGTTCCTCCTCTTTTTGTCTGACCCTCCACCTTACCAAACATGATATCCTTCTCCAGCGACTGCTTCCTCCTGACAATATGTCCGAAGTATGAGAGATGAAGTTTGGCCATTCTGGCCTCCAAGGAGTACTCTGGCTGCACTTCTTTCAAAACAGATCTATTGGTTCTTTTGGCAGCCCATGGCACTTGCAATATTCTCCTCCAACACCATAGCTCAAAAGCTTCAAGTCTTCTATGGTCTTCCTTATTCACTGTCCAGCTTTCACATGCATATGAGGTTATTGAAAATACCATGGCTTGGGTCAGGTGCACCTTAGTCCTCAAGCTGACATCTTTGCTCTTCAACACTTTAAAAAGGTCTTGTGCAGCAGATTCACCTAATGCAATACGTCATTTGATTTCTTGACTGCTGCTTCCATGAGTGTTGATAGTTGACCCAAGAAGAATGAAGTCCTTGGCAACTTCAATTTTTTCTCCATTGATAAGAATGTTGTTTATTGGTCCAGTGGTGAGGATTTTTTTTTCTCTTTATATTGGGATATAATCCATACTGAAGGCTGTGCTCTTTGATCTTTATCAGTAAATGTTTTAAATCCTCTTTACTTTTACCAAGCAAGGTTGTATCATCTGCAGATCATAGGTTGTTAATGAGTTTTCCTCCAATCCTGATGCCTCATTTTTCTTCATACAACCCAGCTTCTCAGGTAATTTCCTCAGCATACAGGTTCAATAAATTTGGTGAAAGAATACAACCCTGTTGAACACCTTTTTAAATTTTAAACCATTGTTCCCATGTTCTGTTTGGACAACTGCCTCTTGGTCCACAATTAAGTGTTCAGGAATACTCATACTTGGCAATGTTGTCCATAGCTTGTCATGATCCACACAATCAAAAGCCTTTCTGTAGTCAATAAAGCACAGGTAAACATCTTTCTGATATGCTTTGCTTTCAGCCAAGATCCATCGGACATCAACAATGATATCCCTCATTCCATGGCCCCTTCTGAATCCGGCATGAACCTCTGGAAGTTCTCTGTCAATGTATGATTGTAGCCGTTTCTGTATTACCTTCAGCAAAACTTTACTCGTATGTGATATCAAAGAAATCGTCCAATGATTTCTGCATTCCGTTGAGTCACCTCTCTTTGAAATGGGCACAAATATGGATCTCTTCCAATCAGTCGGCCAGATAGTTGTTTTCCAAATTTCTTGGCAGAGACGATTGAGTGCCTCCTGTGCCGCCTCACTTTCTTGAAAGATTTCAATTTTTATTCTATCAATTCCTGGTGCCTTGTTCTTTTCCAATTCCTTCAATGCACCTTGGACTTCCTCCTTTATTATCATTGGCTCTTGATCATCTGCTTCCTCCTGAAATGGTTGAACAGTAACCATTTCCTTTTGGTACAGTGACTCTGTGTATTCCTTCCATCTTTGCTTGATGCTTTCTGCATCATTCAATAATTTGCCCAGAGAATCTTTCAATAATGAAAGTTGAGGCTTGAATTTTTTCTTCAGTTGCCCCAGCTTGAGAAATGCTGAGCGTGTTCTTCCTTTTTGGTTTTCTGATTCCAGATCTTTGCACATTTTGTCATAATATTTGGCTTTATCTTCTCGAGCTGAACTTTGAAATTTTCTGTTCAGCTCTTGGACCGCTTCATTTCTTCCATTTGCTTTAGCATGTCTACGCTGGAGAGCAAGTTTCAGCATCTCTTCTGACGTCCATTTTGACCTTTTCCTTCTTTCTTGTCTTCTCAATGACTTTTTGTTTTCTTTATGTATGATGTTCTTGATGTCATCCCACAACTCTTCTGGTCTTCGATCTTTAGTGTTTAATGTATCAAATCTGTTCTTCAGATGATGTCTAAATTCAGGTGGGATATATTCAAAGTCATATTTTGGCTCTCATAGACTTGTTTTCATTATCTTCAGCTTCAGTTTGAATTTTCATATGAGCAATTGATGGTCTATTCCACAGTCTGCCCCCGG